TTCCATTCTAGACCTAGGAAAAATTGAACAGCTCAAAGATAATTATGAGCCATTTCTTGATTATTCTGTTCAATTGATTTAAAGTAAGTTTGGAAAAAAAATAAAATAGAGGGTGCAGTGTTAAATATAATATCTTTTGTCTGATCCAGTCAAATTTCAAACTTGTCATTTACAGATTTTAAATCCATCTCCTTATTCAGCCTGCATAGCATTCAGACTTTGGACCACTGGATGCAGAAAACCTTGTTCACTAGTGCAGTGAGCCACTACGCCAATTGGTCAAAGTCATTCTTCTCAGAATTATATTAACTCACATAACAGGATACTTTTATATCAGAAAGGTTATCATATTTTGATGTGTGATGCAAAAGTACATTTAAACACAAACATAGGAAAAATTTTAAACTGAAACAGCAACAAAAATCCAGATGCAAATATCAGTGTGTGAGTATTTCTTTCCTGTTAATTGCATTTGTATTCTCTCTTCACTGTATGCTAATTTTTAGGCTAAAATCTTCCATGATAGCCTCATAGAAAAGAATACATTATTATTTTTCTAGGAAGCCTAACTTCAAAATAAACCTCTGCTTTCTCTATGCCTTTTTTAATTGTCATTCTACCTCCCATGCTACTGAATGAATTCATATGGTTGTCTTTTTTAAAAAAATAGTCTTTTAGCCAAATTACACCGTGTCATACTCCATATTTTTAAAGGTCTTTCATCTACTGTATTATATCTAAGAAGCAGCACCACTGGCAAAAAAAATCAACTAATTAAGAATGCAATGCTGAGACATCACCTTAGAGGCAATGTCTTTTAGGAACAATGCTGCCAATAGCAGGGTCAAGGAACACGACACCAGCTGCTGTCTACACGCTGGTAGCATCCCACAGCCGTGCACGCTTCTGAGTTTTATTCTGTATCCCTGTACAGCAACTGCATGGCCTTCGTAAATATTAGCAAGCTTAAAACTCATGATCTTCTATTTCCAAATCACAAGTTTCTTCTGGTGCTGAAGCTAGATTTGTGAGACTTTGTTGTACGTCCTGCATACACAATTTCAAGTGACAGCCATGTATTACTGAGGAAATGAAGGGGCGTATAGGCTGTGAGGTTCATAAGGAGTCGTGCAGTAAGTTCTGGAGAGCTGCTGCGAGGTTTCCTCGTCTAATCTGATTACCCAGTCCAGTGGAAGGTGAGCTTGAATTGTTCTGAATTATACTTTGTCAAATCTCGAGACTGACAAAGTGAATGCGACTTCCATATGAAAAATGGATAAAGCCGTTCTTTATTACTAATGGCAGTCTTTCTCCAGAGATGATTGTAAATTCCGCTTGCTCTTAGAACGCTTGCAGCACAGCTGAAAATAATTATTAAAACACCAAACGGTTTAAAACAGAACCCCTTCTGCCTTGAAAAAAATCCTTGCTTCATCAAAGAGCAAGAGTAACAGGGTTTGACCCAAGTTTAGCTAAAGGAAGCCTTTGTAAGTGTGACCTGAAACTTGCCAAAGCTGGGGTGGAAGGAGAGGGTCGGTGGGGACCTGCTGGTGGGCTCGGGAGGGCAGCTGGGACGCGCGGCCCTAGTGTTGGATGTGGTGGGAACAGGGAGTGAAAGGAATCAAACAAACCTGCAGATCTAGGTTTCCATGATCTTTACGTGGCCTTCGGAGTGAAATGTATGTCCTGTGAAGGTCTCTGTGCTGCTAGGTCTTTGGGGAGTTTGGTGCGTGCGTTTTGTTTTGAGAGTAAACCCCTTAGTAGGTGGCACCTCTTTTTCCTGCCTTTTCTGCTTAATTGGAGTGTGATATGTCAAGAGACTTGATTTTTACAGTAATGTAATTCAGGGTTTTATTTTTTGCATGAGAGCCACTTCAGCAAACATTATCCAGCAACGCCCAAGCACAAAACCCAAGAAAATCCGTCTTCCGGCACATAATAGATTAATTACAAAATAAAGATTATTTCAATTAAAACTGAAGTCAATCTATTTCTGGGTTTAAAATTACTATTTCATAATGTACATCACAATGCATAACAGCTTGGGACAGGAAATGACTAATACTTTATCCAATTTAATTTATATAAGTGGAAGCTTAACCTTGATATCTTGGCCATATTTCAAGTGGAGCAAACACCCTTATTTATATAAAATTGCCGTGAGACGTTCGGCAGCACGAAGTGGCCAGGGCCCGTTGTTTCAGACCTCATCCCCAAGGCTGCCTCTGCAGCACACGCCCCGGTGGTGCCGTGGGACGGTGACTCACGGCTGCAGCGGGGCTGCCCTGACTCATCGGCCTGCGGATGGAGGGAGGCAGCTGGGCGCTCCTCCTCGACCCCTCTCCAAAAAGTCACAGCTCCGCGTGTCTTATCTCACAGATCTGCTGGCCTTGGGCTTTTGTGAGGAAGAACAGCTTCCTTCCTTGGCCTCTCACCACGTCTTCCTGGGCTGCTTTAGGTGCTGGGAGTTGGGACGCTGTGCCTTGTAGGATGAGGCCTGAAAGCTGTCCTCCCGGGGAGGACTCCACCAGGCAGCGAGTGCCTCCTCTTCCCTTCTGGAGCAGAACCCCTGGTAGCCTTTCCAGGTGTCTGGGAGGGGAGAAGAGAAAAATTGCTTTTTGGACAGTTTTTTGATGCAGACTCAGGGCTCTGACTCAACACTGAAAAGGATTGAGTGTTTGCCAGAATGCTAATGTAAGTAATTGGAAGAGCTCCTAAGTGGCTTTAAAGTACAAATGTTTTTAACTACTCATTGTAAAGATATAATGTACTGAAGGTAAGTGGTGTGGAAACACGGTGTCATGGCATAGAAATGCAGGCTCTTAAAAAATATGGAGGTTTTAAAAATGGAGGTGCTTGTGGTGTGCTCTGTGCCACCAAGACGTTGATCCTGGGAAGCAGCAGTAGCTTTCAGGCCTCCCTGCATCCACCAACATTCAGAAACAGAGAAAAGGGGTTGTTCTCCAAGTTTGGGGGTCATTTTTTGCATTTTCTGTGTAGACTCCTGAGCAAATCACTATTTTAGATGGATCAGTCATCGTCTTATCAACTAGCAGGGTCCCCCCCCACCGCTTCCCAGGTCTGTGGGAGGCAAACGGCTCTTCCTGCACCCGCTGAGCCACGGTGCCTGTGTGCTGGATGAGGTTTAGAGATGTGGGTTAAGCCCAGCACGGGCAGGAGACCCAGCTGCTGCTTGGACGTGCTGACAGTGCCTGGTGCTGGTGTCCCCTGCCCACACACCGGGGAGGAGGGCACACGCGGCAGGGTCGAAGCGCTGAGCACTGTGCCAAGAGTCACTGCGACCTGCCGAAAACTGCAGCATCCCCGAAACTGCCCTGGCTTGTGCCAGGATGTGTCAGCTCTTCAAAAGCTTTGGGCACCCACAGCCTCCCGTCCTCACCCCTCTGCTGCAGACAGCACATCCGCTTCACGCAGCCGTGTCTGTGCCCCATCGTCCCCCTTCTGCTTTCTGCTGCTGTGCAAAGCTTCTCTAATCCCAGCAGAAGCTGCTGCTTGCACATGGGAGGCCTAAAGCATCTTAAGATTGCACATCCCTTGTTTTAATAAATAACCCCAAATCGCTTGAAACCGGGGTGCGAGGGGTGCCCTGTTGGGTGCACGTGTCCTTTTCCACAGGCTCGCTGTGCTGCCCGGTGAGGAGCGTCTGTGGCCTCTGCCCATCCATGAGGCCACCAGGGACGGCTGGGCGGCAGAGCTGCTTTCTGACCTCAGTGTTTGGGTTTTACAGCACGGAAGGTGAGAGCCCTTTCCCTTTAAAGGGCTATCCTGGTCTTTTTTTTTTTTTTCCTCCATTTGTATAAAATTTGGCATTAGAGAGCCAGTGCCCCTCGGCGGCTCTCCTGCTGCGAGCAGCCCACGAGCCAGTCCCAGCCGCAGGCTGTTCCCCGCCGGGTGCCGGCACGCAGGGCGTCCCTGCTGTTTGTTTTGTATTCCAAAGCCAAAAGCCTTTTACACCCCTAAATATCTTCATAAATTTCCATAAAATGCACCGGGCAGCCCGCTTTAGAGCGTTCCTGGAGAAATTATTATATTTTGCATTTGGTTTATCCTTTAAAAAAGACCTTTTCCCGCATGTCTGTGCGGTGTCGTTGATACAATTTACATCGCATCCCTCATATTAATACTCTGATCAATCACTGCTGACAATACAGTGTCTTTGTGTGAGTGGCTGTAGGACAAATGTTTTAGCTTGTGAGAAGAAAATTGTTAGCATTTGAATAGAGAACAGTGCGGGGGAAAGGATTAATAGCCTACTTTGATGGATTAGAATGTAGGGAAATTGCTCAATATTAATATGAAAATGTTTGTGAATTGGCTGTGCAGGTGCTGTCAATGGAAAATGAAGGCCAGTGATTATGTCTCCAAGGCCTTATCAGTTCAGACTTGACTCTCACCAAAGACTTTCACACAAAAGACTGATGAGAGCACTAGAAAATAGCTGAATAAGAGCTGCTACAATGAGCGAACCATTCAACCACCAGTGTCACAATGTCAGGTTTTGTGCCCTTTATGTAATATTGTACATCTTTATATTAACATATCTGAATATGGATTTGTAATAAAAGAGGCAAATGAAACTACCTGCTAGACATTTTTATTTCTATAATTTTTGCTTATCTCTGAAATATGACTGGAAAATGAACTAAGGTTAGTCTTAATAAACAACTGTGCCTACAAGTGGGATTTCTCTGTGAGCAGTAGGTTAAGGGTTTCGAATATGGCTGTGTGTTTATTCATGTAAGAAAGGACTGTTTGATGGTCCTGGGAGACGGTGCAGGAAAACTTGTTTCCTATTCCCATAGCTTCAAAACAGATCAAACAGACTGTTTCTTCTGTGTCCTTTGCTCTTAATAAGGTTTTAAATAGACACCAAATGTGGAAGTGTGCCTTGTTATAAGTGTATTTAACATAATTGGTGTATTTCAAGTAACCATCGATATTAAATTATACATCTTTTTCTCGTTTTATATTTTCTACAGGCTTTGTCTACCTAAAGGCTGAAATGAAGCTATACATTATTTGGCTGTTGACTCACATCTTGTGGAGCTGGACCCCTGGAAAACACGGGTGTATGTTGGTAGTGAATTCTACAAGCTGTAAGTACTGCAGAGCAATTTCACGTTGCCTTTCGAATAGATGTGTGATGCGCCTTCCACTACCTGAACTAGCTTAAATCATAAATCTGGCTTTTCCCCTTCCTTTGCGCTGTCTGTATCCCTTTTCTCATGACTCAGTTTCTGACTCAGCTTATCACTTCACCCGAGCTGCTGATGGGCATCGGCCTCGGGGTTGTGCCTTAGAAACTGGATCCAAAGTGACTGCAGTGTCAGTAGGTGTTTCTGGAAAAGCTTGCTGCTCTCACTCGCAACCTTCGTACCAGCCGATGTGGTGGTAAATCCCTTATTATCTACCAGAATAAGCTCTGGGAACCTGGGTTGTTTCAGTGATGAAATCTCTCACGTGTCGTCGGGTTAAGCCTGCTGACTGTTAGCATGTAGCTTGGCTAACAGATGTCATCCTCCAAGCGCTGGCACTTCTGGTTTATCCGGGCTGATTTCATTTGATGCAGTGGCCTTGATCCAATATAAGATTGCATCATGTGTCCTTCAGATATTTGGACCAGTTTTGCTTCACTTTTGCAGTTCAAATGTCTCGTCTTGTGTGAGGTGTGACCTATCCCACATAATCTATTTCCAAAGGTAACAGGGTTAAGATCATGTCTTAGAATTAGAAACTCCAGTGAAAACATAAGAAAACTAACAGTATTCTTATGTGCCTTGTTAGTTGTCCTGGTGGAAAAGAAATATGGGAAATGATCCAAAAATTCAGAACTGACCATTGTAAAGTTGGTAGACTTTTTTTTTTTAAATCAAAATTAAATAAGATCAGCTGTTAATGAAAGAAATCTTTTCAGTATTTCAATTCAAAAGGTGCATGACTTCTTTTTGAGAGTGGCAACAGTTTCTTTAAAGTTGAGCTCAGCATTCTAGTAAAGAAAATGGCATGTGTGGATTTCTATTAGAGAAAAGATTTTGGTATAAAAGCTTGACTATAGAAAGACTCTGTCTTTTGCAAGACCTTAATTATAAATACACAACTTTTTAAGCCTCGGGTTTTGTATCTAATTAGTACTCCAGTTTCCTTTCCTTACTTGTAAATCACAATCTGGTGCAAAGGCACTGTTTGGCACTTGGCTAGTCGTGACGTACTCTAGTTAGTACTGGATCAATAAATCTTTTATAGCCGGTGCCAAGTCTCCTCAGTGGCTAAAAAAGGAATTTTGTGCACTTTTCAATAAACGTAAAATAGTGGACTAGTGTATTAATTACAGTTGTGTGTTCAGTGAGGAGAGTATTTAGCATTAGTAGTTGCAGGATGTGTTGTTTTTCAGATGTTAGCAACCAACCAGTAAGTGTTAAAATATTTTTAAATGAAAGTAGCATAACGTTTTTAAATCTGATTTTCATTAAACTCTTTGGAAATTCCTGAAAGATACAGTAAGTTCATTTGCCCAAAATGTGAGAGGTCTCTATATACGTTACATATATGAAATAATTAACATATGATGTATCTTTGTTCACTTTATTTAATCAGTTTTTAGTACTTAGAAAAAATATGTGGATTGTCTCAGTCATTTATTTACACAGTACGCAGTAAACAGGTCTTCAGAATAAGTGGTTAAACTTAATGGGGAAGAACACCAATCTATAAAGAATCTGTTAAGTCTAGAGCTGTTGCAAGTTCAGGCTGTGATTCAAAGCAGTGCCAGTATTGCCGTATTTTAATAGATTCATCCCATTACTGTATGTTTTGGCAACTTTATCCACAATATTTTTCTTAGGCAATTTTAAAATCTGATTTACTGTGTTTGGGTATTATCATTATTTAAGATTCACTTAGAACCTTGTATAAATGATATCACCCATTAATTAAATTATTTCACGTACAATTTTTCAGCAGAATTGACACCTGGTACTTTATTTTCATCTTCCATTCCTCTGTTCCTTTGTCTCCATAGTAGCAATTAGGAAACACATTTTTGTATGTGCTTGATACTATGTTTGGTAGTGATAAAGATGATTAATGATTCTCTGTGAGTAATCTTCTTAGTATATATAACTAAGAATGTATCTTTGTGGACAGATACAAGAAAACATTCATTCCTCTGCCTGTGCTGGTGGGCAGCTCATGCCAAGCCGGCTGGACATAAACCAATGCTGATCTGAACGCCTTATCGCCGCCCTAATGTCATGTTATACCCAAACTGCTTCCAGTGCGGGGAAGTGAGCGAAGATGAGAGATAAGTGAATAAATTGAGAGACAAAATACGTATATGAGAGAGCAGGTTCACCATGATATTTAAGACCAGCCTTGAGGTCTCTTTCAATGTGCCCTTGCCACATGATGCCTCTTTTTGTACCCACACAGATTCATTTATTTATTTATTTGTTGAGTTTCTTTTTAACAGCTTAAGGCTTTCTAGGACTTTGTCCTTCTTTCAGGTTTGCTACCTCTTCCAGTTGTAGAGGGTAAATGGACGTTGTAAAATGTCTGGGAGGCAGAAGGGACAAATGCAGGCTGGCATCCAGACCTGGCATCCTGCCCGGGGCAGCGAGAGGGGTCTCGGGGGGTCTCTAGCAGAGGGGAGGGGGCTGCAGTACAGATATTGCCCCTTGGCCACAGCTACTTTGAGTAGACGTAAAACTACATAGTGAAACACCAGTATTTGATGACGTGTTTGTATTTCACCTCCAGTAACCAGAACGATGTTTCCAAACTGTTCTGGTACTTGTTGAAGGCCAGATTGAGGGTGGAGGATTTTATTCATGCAGCAGAACCTTTGCATGACGTGCAAGGAGCAGAGTATTTGCTCAACTAACCTGTGCAGCCTGGAGTGTGACAGCAGACAGCAGGTCACTCCATTTCTCCTGGAGCCAGAGGCCTCAGCCCTGCCTTTCTTCCTAGAGAGGAGTGACAGCTTGTAGGACATCACTCTATTGCTTTACTGAAGCATGGGGTGGGTGTACATCCACTATTTTCCTAACGTGCAATTTTCTTGCTCGTTTTGCTGAAGACACCACAACGAGCATTTGAGGTCTATTCCAAAGGATGTGTGTGATTTAAAGTAGGTGTAACGTTGAGCTTCATTCTGAGCTGAGGACAGTTTTTAGTTAGCTCTTTCCATGCACGGCGTTTTCCCATTTAAGGAATGACTCTTCAAGAGAGAAGTGATGACCTTAAAAAAAAATGTAAGGTGATATGTAGATACTGTTTTCCACAGTTAAAGGTCACCTTGACTTTTAATCTCGACTGCCATACTTTTCTTCTCATTAAAATATTTGACAAGAATTCTTTGCATGAATGAACAGCACAGAACACCTTAAGACTACTCAATTTTCACTAAGGATGTTGCATTGTCATAATGAAGAATTGTACTGTCAGCTAAAAATCATTATCTGCTACACGCATTAACAAATAAAACATGTGCTTTTATACATTTATTTCCTTGAAGAACCTGTTTTTTCTCATAAGTGGATTAAGCAGCAGCATTGAATGTTTTCTTAGATTATTTGCTTTTGAATATAAAATGTCTTGCAATAGCACTGAAATAAGAGGTTTTTTCCAAACTCTTTGATTCCAAACAATTGAATATTTTTCATGATTGACTGTAATGATTCATTTCCCATTATGCAACTCTAACCCCTTTTAGTTCAGCAGCACTTGAAAAGTAAAATATTTTTCTGAACATCTGTTGAAGTATCTGCTGTTCTCATGTCTTTCATAGGAGCTGGCCTAAAAATGTGAGGCCATTTTAATGTAGAAGCTTTGTTATTCTCTACACCCAGATGTCATTCTGAAATAGAACAAACTCAGGTTTAACTGTCATGAAATCTGACATCATAAATTTTATACCACCGAATAATAAGCCAAAATGGAAATCACTATGCATAATGCAAAAAATCTTGTAACTTGACCTTTACCTAAAAGGAATGATTATATGTAAAAAGAGTCTTGTGAATTAAGAATGTAATTCTTTTCACCTTCTGTAGCTTGAGGGTTGCTGTAGGCGCTGGGTTTTTATTGTTATTTTTATCCCACTTAAGGCAGCTTCCAGCACTCAGCTGAGAGGACAGAGAAGCGGAACTGGAGGAAAATAGGTCAGAAAGGGATAGGCCAGGCTTCCCTTGGAAAGCCATATGTAATCACAGGCACACTGGCAAATTTTTTAAATGGTGCATGTTTGCTTAGAGATCATTAGTACATTTTGGGAACATAAATAACTAGCTGACGCTGAGGACCAAAGACCAAAATCTCAAATATTCCAAATTGCCGTGAAAAGACCCAGTTCTGAAATTTGTTTAGCATCCCTCGACAACTGCTATTGTTTGTGAAGTAAGTGTTGAAGATGCTCTTTGCCAGCAAGATTCATTACCAAAAAGTCTTTTGTGTTCTAATTAGACTGTGGTTTAATTGCAATACTCTTAGGATGCTGAATGCGACATTATTCAAGGGCAGTACTAGGACTAGATCTTGCTTGTTTCTACTGAGATCTGGGGTCAGTTAGTAAATTTAAACGTTTTACCTGATTTTTTTTTCCGGATCACCCATTTTCTTGCAAGACCCGAATGTTAATTAATACGAATACTCGTAACAATTTAATGAGTGTTTGAATATTGGAGCCAAGTCATGAGGAAACTCTAAGAACATGCCGAAAATTGGCTTGACATAGTCGGTGGCTTTAGATTCATGATTATAGGAAAAAGAGAACTTCTCTTGACTATCAGAGATCACAAGAGAAAAAGCAACCTCACTGTTGTTGCATGTTGACCAAGTATATCACTTGGATTACCTCTTGCTGTGTTTGTCTAATACCGTGTGCATTTCTCCCTAATCTGCAATAACAAAATGGCACATTTATGGACTGTTGGCTAAACAGAAAGATTAATTCTGTAAAAAAACAAATAGCTTTCTAAGGCAATGGGAATAAAAAAGTAACCCATATAAAGTCAGGACTGACTCAGATGTAATGCCGATCATTTTCATAAACTTTGCACATGTTGACACATCTTTGAATAATTGGCTCCCTCTCATGTCT